AACACGGAGATGCAGAACCTCTCACGCGCCTTCGTGGAGCTGAACGACCAGGTGGCCAGCGATGAGGGCTACAACCTGCGGCAGGACAAGGACAAGGGCACCCAGCCGGCCCGCAGCACCCAGGAGCTGTACGAGAGGAAGACCAAACACCGCTGTGCCGGTGAGCAGGACGGGCAGGGGCTGGCAGCACACAGGGCAGGCGGCTGCCAGCCACGGGGGGCTGCCCCAGAACCCCTTGCTTGGCCCTGCAGGCACCCCAGATGAGGTCTGGGCCAGCAGGGCTGGGTCTGCACAGACAGCTGAGGGTTTCTGCCTCCCCCCAGCTGTGCTTGAGAGTGGTCGTCAGCGCTGCTTAGACTATTTCAAACAGCTGCACAGGAGCTGCCTGGAAAAAGTGTCCGTGCCCCTCATCAACCACGTCCTCTGCATGCCCATACGGATCGGGGTCCTCTGCCAAGCAGTCAAACGTGAGTGATGTGTGGGACCCACTTCCCTGTCCCTGTCCTCCCTTGAGGGGTAGCTCCAGTTCTGCCCCCCACAGATCCCGGGACAGCAGCCACAGCCAATACTGTCCCCATTCCGTCCCTTGCAGTCATGAGCTCCTGGTGCGAGGAGAGGATCCCTGTGGACAGCAACTTCGGGAAGGTGTTTGACCAGGTGAATGACTCTGTCCAAAGCCTCGGCCAGGAATTCACTGCCAGCATCGTCTACAAGGTGGGTGCTTGGGCACCCTGTGGGTGCCCGACCCCTGTGCCCAGGGCCAGGGTGGGGGCCACATCCTGCCCTGCCCCACGGCCCCTCCACTGCAGGAGGAGCACCAGGAGATGTTGGTGGGCATCAACATAGTGGAGCAGCTGCAGGAGGAGGTGACCTCGCAACTGCGGGAGGAAGGCGCCCGCCTGGGCTTGGCCGTCTCCTTCTTCCGCCTGTTGCTGTCCTTCACCTTCCTCTTCGTCTTCTTCTCGTGAGCCTTGGGATGGTCGGGGGGTGGGGGGTGACACCCCTGTGCCAGATGTGGGGCACAAAGGGTTGGGGACCCCCTTTAGCAACAGGTCTGGGGGAGGTGTGAAAACAAGGGGGTGTGTCCTTGGGGGCTGCACCCGGTGCCTCCTTTGCCCTCCCTGGACCTGTCCTCTCTCGCCAGGGCTTTCTACTACACCTACCGGTACTGCCACGACATCGGCTTCGACAACTGCTACATCACCACCTACTTCCGACAAATCGATGCCCGGCGTGGAGAGCAGGTTGGGCAAGGGGGACAGGGGTGGAGGGTGGCCTCCCACTCCTGGTGAAGGGTTCTGGGGCACTGTGCTGAACCACCCTGCTGCCCCTCACCCAGAACAAGCGGACGCTGCTGCCCCTGCTCCGGTACGAGGCCTCGGCTTTCGTCTTCCCGTGCCGCCTGGCCCTGCAGCGGCCTGAGCTGAAGTACATGGTGAGGGGCTGGGGAGAGCTGGGGGGGTCAGGGCTGGGGGGGCAGCAGGCTGTGACACACCCTGCTCCCCGCAGGTGATGGAACTGCTCAGGTGCATCCCGCTCCTGCTCTTCCTCATCTTCGTCTGTGGCCTGGACCACTTCATCTTCGGCGTCCTCAGCATCATCCAGAACCACTCCTTTGTGCAGTATTCCTACCAAAGTGAGCCCAAGGCCCTTAGGGGCAGCCCCACATCCCCTCTGTGCCCCACAGGGCAATGCAGAGGGGGCCCCCCAGCCCTCCCCCTGCCTCCTCAGCCTCCCCATCCTCCCGTCCCACAGCCAGCCACCACATGTCCGTGACCGTGATGGGCACGTCCCTGATGGCACGGCTGCTGCGGAGCACCATCGGGGCCCTCAACACCTCCGTCGACACCCAAGTGGAGACCTCCAACCGCGGTGAGACCCGCCGGGGATGGGACCCCGGGGATGGACCCCTGCCTGCTGCAGGGGGCTCACGCCGGTGCCGTGTCCCCAGCCTGCCTGCCAAAGCCCCACGGCATGACGAGGGAGCAGTACCTGAACACTTGCCTGCCCCTGGTCGCGCTGGCCCTGCTCTGCCTGGCCCAGGTCTACCCGTTCCGCCTGCGCCGCGCCATCGCCGCCTTCTACTTCCCCAAGGTGAGCAGCCCCCCGGCACCGCCCGAGGGCCTGGCATGGCCTGAGGGGTGAGTTTTGGGGTGGGGTTGGGGTGGGCTGGTGCCCCCAGCCACCCATCCCTCACGGTCTTCGCCGGCGCAGCGGGAGAAGACTCGAGTGCTGTTCTTGTACAACAAGTTGCTGCGGCAAAGGAAGAATTTCTTCCAGCTGCAGCGGAGGCGCATCGCCCGGAGAGCACGGCAGCCCCCGGGGCTGGTGAGTGGGGTCGGGGGCACGGCGGGCTGGGGAGCGGGGCATTGTTGTCCCTGGAGCTGCTGTGGGGTGGCTGCTCTGCCAGAACCCCACACGGGCCCGTCCTCGCCGCAGGGGACGTCGCTGCTGGAGTGGTGCAGCCAGCATTGGCCTTGGCTGCGCCGCTGCCAGCGCCGGAGCTGCACATTGTGTGGGACGCCCGGCACCCCCTGGCACCAGGTCTGCCCCGCTCCCGACTGCCGTGCCTTGTACTGCGACCGGTGCTGGACGGAGGCGGGCGGGACGTGCCTCGCCTGCAGCCCCGAGGAGCCCGGGCTCGTCCAGGACAGCAGCGAGGAGGAGGAGGAGCCGGGGTACGCGGGATGAGGGGGCCGGCAATAAAGGCTGTGATCCCCCCGCGTGGCGTGAAGTGGGGTCCGTGGGGTGCGTCTGCTGGGGTGGGGGTCTGCTTTGTGTGGGATGCTGAACGGGGGGGTCTCTGCTGCACGGGAGGATGGAGATGGGGGTCTCTGTCACAGCACCCTGAGCGTCACAAGCCGCTCCCAGCACACACAGAGCTGCCCCCACCCTGCCTGTCACTGCCTTCCCAGGGTTGGGGGCATGATGGAAATACAGATGGGGACACTGAGGGGGTTGTGGGACTTTTGGGGACAGGGATAGGTCTGGGTGCACCGTGGGGGTGGAGATGGGGGCACCGTGAGTCTGGGGACAGGGACATCGAGGGCTGGATGGCACCACAGGGCTGGACTGGGATGTGGAGGGGCTGGGACACCCTGGGCGTGGAGATGGGGACACCAAGGTGCTGAAAGGGGACATCAAAGGGCTGGGGGCACAGCAGGGATGGAGCCAGGACAGGATGGGGCTGGGGCATCACGAGATCAGGACCACCCCGGGGTGTGGACTCGGGGTGTCAGGACTCTGGTGCCTCCAGCACCAGGTGTTTTGTTCTCCAGCCTCTCCCCGCCCAGGTTTTGCTGCGCTGCTGGGGCTCCACATGTGGGTCATCTGGTCCAACCTCCCTGCTCAAGAGGGGTCATCCCAGAGCACACGGCACAGGATTGTGTCCAGATGGTTCTGGAATATCTCCAGGGGGGAGACTCCACACCCTCTCGGGGCAGTCTGTTCCAGTGCTCGGTCACTGCACAGGGAAGTTGTTCCTCATGTTCAAGTGGAACTTCCCGGGCATCAGTTCCTGTCCCATTGTTGGGCACCCCCGAGCAGAGCTCCAGCCTCTGACACTCCCTGCAGACACTGGCAGGCATTGATGAGGTCCCCTCTTAGTCATCTCTTCTTGAGGTTGAACAGGCCCAGCTCCCTCAGCCTTTCCTCATAAAAGAAAGAGAGAGAAAGAGGGAAAGAGGAGGGAAAGAGAGAAAGAGGGAAA